TTTTTGCAATTTGATCCACTTTTTGCATTGAAATTGTTGACCAACTCTCGATTTTGATCAGGAAACGACGACGTGAGTTTACTCTTCCCCTCCCTCTCCCCTGTCATCTCCGATTAAGTCCTCGGGTCTTGGTTTGATATTATTTTACTTGGTTTTATTTATATTGCGTTCAAGTAAAAAAAAAAGTACAACCTTTACCCTACAATAACCAATACCGTAACAAAATACTAATAACTTTACATATGTCAAGGCAATTATATGTCACGTTCTTTCATACACTTGGGAACCTTGATGGACCATAAGACGATTTAACAGTATGTACCTCCTTCGGTGACGACAGTCTTTTTTTGTGCGCGGCGCCGCGCGGAACGACGTGCAAACCCTTCCATAACGTTTTCTCGTGGACCCTACCAGGTGGTCGTGTGGACAGCGCAAGGTATGCTAGATCCAGTCCGTTGCGGGGGGCGGGGGGCGGAAAACAAAAGGAGTTTACGTGGTCTAACTCACCGTAAATGGAGGTTTTTTTTTATTTAGAAGGGCCCTCGTACGAGGCCGTGGGGTTCTGCTCCTAAAGCGCCAGGTGGTGGTGAATTTAGTGTACTATGCAGGATTTGTGTAATGTTAAAAAAAAAAATATAAAGTCATAACACCCTTTGTGACATGTGGTTTACTTAGACTAACTGGGAGGTCGTCACACAGGTCCGGATAAAGTGCGATTGTTACCAGATATAACAGTTATACCGTATTAGGAAATATGTAACTAGCTTCTGTTCTAATTTGGCACGCGTACCGATTGGTGGCGTACAATCCCATTCTGTAATAGAAGAGTATGGTAGTATGAATAATATAACCATGACACAGTTTGTAATAATCCGCGTGAGTCTCTTAGGCAAAACTTTATATATGGTACCTTTTAGACCATTCAAGTTTAGTTTATACGTTTACAATGACTTCAATTAGTTCAGTTGTTAGTATTGTTTTATATGTATCCCATGTTAGCTTGTTGTAGGGGTGACTTTTGACTTGAACAAAAGGACCTTAGAAGAATATAACTGGAATTGGCTGAGTACTTTTTGATATAATATATGTGGAAAAAATTAGATGTCAGTAGTTTGATTAAATCCAGGCGATATTTGGTGAGAAGTAGACATCTTAGTCAAAATCTAGTTAAGTTAGTACACTCTACACCGATGGTATTGGTCTTACGGGGTATATATGGACTCATAGTAAAGTTTTGTGTTACATATTTCGACTGTTTATTACTTGTAAAAGGTCGGTACAAGTATATACTATTGTCGGTCCGTTGATTCTTGAGTCGAGCCGTCAACCATTTCTAAGGTCACCACTGAACGTTAGGCTCACACCGATGGTGAATTGTCCTTCACCCAGTTTTATTTAACGACGTCACTCCTGGTTTTTCACGATTTAACTCGAAGTGGAAAGTGCCTTCAATTTCCTGGTTTTCTTAGCGCGGCCCGGGGGTGGTCACTTTTAAAGGGCCTGCGCCCGGGGCGTCGTGGGGGCCCGCTGGGCCGGACGATTATTTGTCGAAAGGGTGATACTGTGTAACCCCTCCCCATGTTCACACTGTTCAAAAGACGCAAGTGCCGAAATAGTTGCAGACACGTGGCTAAAACAGAAAGAGTGTGCCATGGGGGGAAACCGTGCCTTCGCACGAGTGTACAAGTTTATTTTGGGGGTTCTGACCGTCACATGGCAACCCCCATAGTCTCTCTTCCCTCTTCCTCTTTCTGCCTGTCCCTCCTCCTCGTTTATTTTTTAGCGAAGACACACAGTCTCCCTGTGTGGCACCTCCGAGGACTACGGGCAGTAATTCCAGTGTTACTATCGGGGACCAATCTTTGTTGACCGGACGCGTCGGTCTAAGTCGGGGTGTTTTGTTTTACCGAGCCTTTTTG